CAGTCAGTCTACCAAGACTGTGATAGATCATTTTTTTGATGTTGCAATACCAGTCAGCAAAAGACATCAAACAGTTTTTGGACTTCCAATTGCATCTGGCAAATGAGCTGCTCAACTACTACCCCAAACTACTGGGGTTTGGTCGAAAAGGAACTAAAAGCATGGTTGAAAAGGCGAAACATGGATGCATTGCATCAGTTGCAAGATGCTTTTTGTTTTCTGATCATTTCATTCAGGCACTCAGTAGGCAATGGCTGTGTCTGAAACAGCCCGCTACACCCCACATAGTACACTCCATGGGGGAACGGTATTTGTGGAAGTGTCCGGATGTTTAGTGAGTAGAAGTTGTCCACTATAAAGGGCACTATCAGTGTATCCCACAATTCACCACGACATCATGTGTACATCCTATGGTCACTGCTCAAGCAATATATCCCACCATGCATTGCAGTGATGACGATAAGCCGATATATTGTGATGTTTTGTTTCAGAATACTCTATCGATATTGTACAGCACAGTTTCGTAGTATATTATTTTGCCCTCATTGTGACCCAAGATTTTGATGAGAGAATTCCCATTAGTGAGTGAGCTGACTGTTATTGGTAAGAAAGACGTATAGGCTGAAATTGGTGGTTACAAATAGTAAGGGTGTAGCGGCACTGTGTGTTTACTATGTTGACAGTTTTCCTACTATTAAATTGCATAAACATTTCTCAATATATCGTTGTGCCTTTAGTATCGCAGTAATACATTGTATCATTGCCCATGTATCGTGATACGTATCGTATCGCCAGATTCTTGCCAATACACACCCTTAATAGTTCGTTATATATTATTCCCAATATAGGGAGTAGGGAATGGGTGAGGGATGTGTGAAACGGCCCAGGAAACAGGGTTGGACTTGCTGGCTGCAGTGACTCCTTCTTTTCAGGTGTTAAATGTTCTGGGGCCTCCAGATTAACTATATAAACCCTTAATGATTACAAAGTTTGTGAGGTGGACAGTTTTGGGACAGAACTTCACCAGATGTTGGTGGTGACGTGCCTTATCAGCTAGTGTCATGGAGGCGTGATCTTCCTGTTAGATTTGACAGGTCGGTCAAAGTAGACATAATAAACTTTTACTATCTGTTGTGAGGTGAAGTTTGTCTGAGAGCTGTTTCCTATTGTCTTAGGAGTTGATAATACCAGTGACAATGATGAAGTATTTACGTCACAGGCTTTTCAGCAGAGATGAATCATTGACGGTTTACAGGAAGTCACTGTTTTGATTTTGCAGCTCCCTAAGAAATAAAAACACACCATGAACCAGGACTCTGCTTTAGATTATGACAGTAGCCCAGTGGAGAAGCTGAGACCTCCCTTGAGTCCACTGTGTGTTAATGTTGTGATATACCATAATTATGTTGTTGGTCATAAATTCTGCCAGCGTTGATGGAAATTTACTTGCTGTTAAGGATATAAAATATCCGGCATGCAGTCCAAAAAGTCAACATGGCCTTTGCCAAAGTCCATAAACACAAGTCCTATTGTATGACAGCATTGTCCACGCCTTTCTCGTCCTCTCTTCATTTTTTTGTTTTTTTTTCCCCCAGAAGAATGTTAACACGCAGAAGTCTTGTTCTGGCCACAGGGTTGCAGTTGTTGATCACACAGTTCTGTGTGTTTATGTTCGAGAAATCTCTGTGTCACTAATCCCCTCACACTGTCAGACTCTAACTCTAACTCTCCGCCCGTGAAATAATCATTCGCTCAGGGGGAAGGTGATACCGTCAAGATTCGTATATGTGATCCTAGAGCATCTTAGAGAGTGTTTGACTCAATGAAAGAAAAGCAGCCATAATTTTCCTATAATCCTTTGCATTGAGTTACATTAAAAAACCACCGTAGCCCTTCCAGTCTTTTCCATGGCTTCCATGCTGGATGCTGGCCAAAACTGCAACCAGGAAATACTGGTTGCGGTCCAGCATATGTGTTGTAGGTAGTTGAACCTTGCAGCAGAAATGGGTGGAATGCATTTCCTCCTGTCAGAAAGGATAAGGGTTTGCTATCTTTATATAATTATCCATCTTGATACAGATGATGTATGCAGAGGCACAAACTTCTTATTTATACTTGTTATTTACGTGTTAGTTTCTTCCTCCAACCTTTTTAATTTATTGTTTGATTGTTGGAACATAAATGGTCTAATTTGTGGGAATAGAATAATATGGATGGCTTTTTGTTCATCATTGACCTTGCTTATCATCGTCCATGCCAAGTTTTTTTTTTTTTTTTACGCCAATGCAGAGGAATGATGTTTGACACAGACCCAGAGAATGAGTTTGCAGATAATGTGTTCCACATGTCAACATGTCAAAGCCATTATTGGTCTCACTGAGAGACTGGGAGAAATCTTCAACGTCTTTTTTACTTTCATTTCATTTTTTATTTTTATTTTTTAGTAGTAGAAAGGAAAAATGTATCCACGTGGCTGTTCAGGACAGGAGGCCATACATAATGGAAAGTTTGCTACTGTTTCTACAAAGGCAACAACTGCAAATCTGATTGTTGTTTCGTGTCAAATGAGTGGACGGCCAAAGGAACAAGAGCTCAATGGGAACAATTACTCATCCGTCGGTACTATAAGCAGTTTGGCATCCTTTTCCATGTGGTGTCCGCTTTCTTTGTTCCGGATGAATATTATTATAATGATTCCTTTTATAGCCTTTTATCCAGGAATTATGGAGGGTTTCAACCACACACTAATTCTCTGTGGCAGAGGGAGCTGTTTGGAAAATTCCTTCAGCTAAGCTTGTTTCTTTACAATCAACCACACTTAACAATTTCTAAAGATGCAGCAACTTAAGTAGTCACACAGTGGCTGAACTAAAAAAAAAAAATTGGTACATAATTAGGTCTTTGCATGCTCTTCTCTTCTCCCTTTTTTTATGCAACTTACTCCTGCTTTCCGTGGCACGTTTTCTATGTTATTCTGTGTAAAAGTGAGCTCAGTACATGAAATTGATATTATTCTGGATTCAGTGTCACCTCTGTATCTCTCCCCAGATAAACTAAGCAGGGCTGACCCCAGAGCAGAACACAGGACAAAGGTAAAGGTTAGGTTTATTATCAAATGTGCAAAAAGTTCATCAAGCAAGACAGTGCAGTGAAGATCCAGGAGACAGAGCTGACAAACAGGCAGTGGTGATGATTGGGTGTGCCTGTTGAGGAGTATTTGAGCCCAGAAGACGAGGATTCAAAACGTGTCCAAGGGAATTTCAACATGTAGCAGTGACCAAATAACCTAGCCAAATACATATCACAGCACACGACAATACAGAATTCTGGGGGAAAACTAAAACAACAACAACAACCAGGACACATAGGGAGAGAGTAAGGTGGGTGTCTTGCAGTTTACCACACAATTAGTGGAAATGTTCTGGCGCTAATTCAGCGTTGACCTGGTACCTCTGGAACACAACTCAGTCACTGCTTCTTCTTTCAGATAAAGAAGTTATTAATTTACTTTGGGAGAGCTCTGATTGTCTGGATGAAACAAATTGCACCTATAAACTCATTTCTCAGAAATGTGTCACCAGATTAGGACAAATAACAGTGGAGCCAGTCGCAGCTTTTACTGTGAGAGGGCGGGGTTGACCCTGGACAGTAAATTAGTCCATGGTAATCAATCCAAATAGAAAATTATTGTCTATTGTAATATTATGTACTTTCTTTTTAAAAAAAATATTATTCTCTCTTATTTTTTTTACTAATATTCACCAGAAAATGAAACATATCCAGTTGTAATCCAGAGATAATAATAATCAATACTAAATATATGTTGCACCTTGGATTATCTGAAGTGGCGCTATGGCCAGAGGCAATGTCTCTGTCACTGGTGTTGAACCCCAGGGTTCACCTCCTGGGCAAGTTCGAATCCCGGTTAGGGTGGTTGGTACCTTCCAGTGGACTCACCACCTGCAGGAAGGTTCAGGGGAGTTGGTGCGGTGCAGTGTGATTTGGGTTGTGACTGCTGCCCCTATGACCCGATAATGGATAAGCAGATGAAAATGGATGGATGGATGGATGGATTATCTGATGTACTTGAATTTGTACTTGAAAGTGTTCTCCCTTCAAACATCTTGGTTTTTATTCATTTTAATGTTTCACCACTTGACTTGTTCCACTCATAAGTAAATTAAATACTTGATAATAGTGGAATATGTACAGAAAAAGGATGCTAGCACAGGACCACGCTCAGTTATTCACTAAATTAGTCATTTGTTCATTTTGGAATGAGTCACCATAAATTTCCATGTGTGGCACACACAGAGTAACACGGATGATCTAAGCCATTGGACAGATCAACAAATGAAAGTATATTGGCAAACATTTCAAATCAAGCCTTCAACGTTACAGTACAGTCACTGTAAGGTATTAGCCTTTGCAGTAACTTGAGAGGCTTAACTTAACAAAAGGCTCACCTCTGTGGGCAGCTCAGTGTCGTAAACTCTGCACAGGTTTGGTTGCTCATATGTCCAAACTTTGCGGTGATGGTTTAGCTTTTCATGATTGTGGTTTTTCATTTTCATTACATTCATTACTTATCATAAAGGTTATGGTTTGTATACCAAATCTGGAGCAACTACATCATTGATCAAAAATGATTGTGAGGATATACAGGGTGTTATAAAGTCATCTATATGCCATTGGCTAAAAAACTGTTGTAGTCTTTGAATGTTTTACTTTTTTTATAACTTGGTGAGATGGAGGCAGATGATCTGCTGTGGTGACCACTGAAGGAAACAACTGAAAGATAAAGAAGGTTTGTTTGTTAAACTTGGTTTATGTTGCTTTAGCATTGGTGTTAGAAACTGTTCAGTATTGAAAGAAAGACCCCATTAAAGGAATTTAGGGTTAATACTCCATCTTGATTTACAAAAGATTGAGGAAAGAAATCAAAGGAAAACATCTGTAGAGACACATGACTGAAGAAAAACTGCTCATTAAATGCATGTTGGTTTGTTTTGATGGGGCCCTGTTCTTTTAATCACAGACTCCTTTGGCCTCTATCACTCTTCATCTCTGTCACTGACTCGCTCTCCCTCATTCCTTCCTTGTCTCTGTCTCTCCCAAATAACCCTTTAAGATGAAACAGATACAGGCCCCTAATTGGGGTTTTACAGTGAAGTACAGAAACAGCGTCCAGACAGTCCTGCTTAATCTGCCGCCAGAGTTGCCAGGTCTGCAGTTTTCTCACTGAAGTCATTGGCCACTTTTTTAAATATTGAACAATAAATGTTTATGACTCAAATCCTGTCAAACTGACACCAGGCCTTGGGTCATTAGCTCTCTCACTTTCAGAATGGCAGTGCAGCTGTGGTGCACACATTCTCAGAGAAGAACTTTATGAAGAAAAAACAGTGCAAGAGAATGAATGACACCCTTTTTCTGAACATCCTGCGTAATTGCGCATTCATGCAGTGACAGGAAATCTGCTGCCACCAGTTTGAGCCAGCCAAAGATATGCTGGCCTTGTTCAATACAGATATGAATGACAAGGACAAGGGTGATGACCTTGAATAGTTCAAGATCATATTAAAGTACATATTGCTATTATAGTATTACTGATGTGTTTAAAACCAACATTTATGGATATTTAGGGACATATTTTTTATTCTGGATCTTTGGTCAGTTTTCTACCCAGTTTGGTTTTGGGTTTTAAATCTCTTTGTCACCCTGACTGGCTGACAGAGCAGAGAACAAGCACCTCGTGTGAGAAGCTGCGACACAGATTTTTTTTTTTTTTTTTTACTGCTGTTGTTTGGACTGTGACCACCAGAGGTCCAATAGTTAGCCATGAGGAGCAGCTGACTTGAAAGTGACCTGACACAGTAGCATAGTTACATGAGAAAAAACACGAAGCAGGTTGAGAAGACTGGACTTACCTTATTGTCAAAATGTTTAAACTTAATACCAAAGTACAAAGAAAGGTATCTATGTTCACACCTTAAATAGATGGTCACTTATAAAAACACAGAGCAAAATCAATGTGGATATACACACAGCGTATTGACAGTAAGAACTGGATGGAGAACATTCATATTGTTTTAATCTATAGTAATTGTGATAATCGTATTATCTTGATAAATTCTCTCACACACTTGATTGCGTGTGAACTCTTTTGCTCCTCCCACCTGCACATCCACATTGCTGCCTGATCCCCCTGCACCCTTGTCATTTCAACACCTGATCAGAGTGTACCAGATTGGCTACCTTCCCTACGACTGGTGAGTGAAGAATACTGTCATTGCCTAGTTATAACATACAAATATGTGAGACTCCATATTTTCTTCCAGATGTCTATTTCTGTTAATACATTTGACTTTTGTGGTGTTCAAAACCCCCAAAAGAATAGTTATTGACATGTTATTATATGTATTTGTGTCGGATGTTTGTCTTGACTTAACACATATATTTTTGGACCTTTCTGTATCATAGTATATCTGTTGCTTTTTCAGTCTTTACCTTTCAAAGTGTTTTTTTAGTGTTTTTTTAGTGGTTACAGTATGTGTAAAAGACATTTCTGATTTGATTTTGGCGATAAATAAACCAATGCAGTTTCCGACCTATATTTTGACAAAAGTAAAGTCAGTGAAAATCCCTTCTAATTTAAACAGAGCAACAATAGAATCAGGTCAATGTCCAATAATAATGCTACGTAGTAGCCAGTACTCGTTTCCCATAACAACAGACGGTCAGTGACAGACACTTTTGTTGCAGAAAAAAATACTTCATCATTCTTTAGACTTGAATGTAAACATTAATTTAGTATAGGAGATGAAGTACCTCACAGAGGATCTGCCTTTGGGAAAATATAGCTACTTCATCAGAGATGGGTCCGTTGTGGCCGGCTTTCATCACACTGTCTATGACTCAGTGTCCTGACCTGCACTCCTTTATGTCCCAGCAGAAATTCCACCGCATGCTTCTACTTATTCCAGTGGTTTTGCAAAAAAACAAAAAATAAAAAAACAGATGAGCAAATCGCTGAATGTCTCCTCAGCCAACAATCAGCTGTGTCTCTCTGCAGCCAGGGTTTAAACCAGGTCAAGAATCCATCCAGCTTAGAAGTAGCCTAGCTCAGAGTCACTCCTAGCGATTGTCTCTGACTCAGCTTTTTTATATCAACCCAACTCACTCCTCATTTCTTTACGCAATAGGGACAACATGCAAACCATGCCCTTAGTTGGCTCCATTTTTACCACCTTTTTGTCAATTGTTGTTTACACCTATTTTAACCCCTACATTTTCTGTAAATATTTGTACAAAATAGTGTGTTTGCGACCCAGTTTGGTCTTGGGGATTATCCAGGAAGTCAGTAAATAATGTAGATCAAAGGTCAGTATCAGTGAGTTAAATATAAGTCTTTTATTCACATTCATAACTTTGTACCAACTTTGTAACTGGGTCAGACACTCATGTGAGGACTCAGATTGAATTAAGTCCAAATTGTCTGTTGACATGCACAGAGGTTTAAAAGCAAATATTTTCAGATCTTGTTATGATCCAAAGTAGGATCAAGAGTCAATTTGAAGAACTTGGCAAAACTCTTGTTTTTCCCTTTATCTTTGCTAAAAGTTTGGAGAATATGCTTGCTAAAACATTAACCTGATAGCCAGAAAAACAAACCTTCTTAAAGTATTTTTCTTGTGGCTGGATTATGAAGTTTGTTACTTGCTTTCTTTCTCAAAACTAAAGCACATTGACAAAATTAGCATATTTGTTGCTGGCAGACACTTTAAGCTGCTACTGCCGGGTTGTCTTGTGTGGTGAGTTTGTTTGTCCCTTGGGTAAATATAATCAGAAAATTTGAAACACCAAATCCACAAAATATAATTCTTGAACTCAGTAATCAAGGCGGAGTCGAATCCAAGCCTCCTGTGGGCAATGAAGTCAAAATCATTGATTTTCTCAATGGTCATTGGCCTGTGGAATTAAACAATGCTAGAGACACTATTTAAATTTAATGGTGATACAAGTTCAGCACATTATCTTAAGTGAGAACCAGGATAATGGAATACCATGTTAAAAATCCTTAAGAAAGGGAAGAAATTACAAACCAACTTCGGAACAGACTTGGCCCTATGACCTTGTACAGTATTTCAAGTGAAACTTGGCGAACCTTGGAAAGCAGCACGATGCCTCCTGGGACTACCCTCTGTGGTTAGTAGTCCCGTGTGGGGAATTGCCCCCAGAAAAACCCCAGAAAATATTCCCATAAAATCTCAAGGAAAGATTATCAACACCAAATATCTTGCCTACCACAAGCCCCGGGGGAGCCATGTAGAGTGTGGACATAAAGTCAGAGGGAACTTTTAAAATAACTCCTCTTTTACATGGCATGGTTCTCCCACAGGTCGGAGAGGAAGGAGGTAGGCCACAGGAATGTTTACCTATTTAGGGCATGAAAAGTGGAGTATAGTGAGAAGGTAAGAAGTTGGAGGCCACACGGTGACCACATTAGGGTTCAGACAAGGCAAGAAGACACCTCAAACTTCTCATGGCGTGTGTGAAGCTGCACATTAGCATGTCTGGGCTGAACATCTACAGCCACCCCGTCAGAAACGTGATTGCACTGACCTTCTCTTCTTATGGTTGGCAAACTGTAATCAAACACATGGACTCTGGTTCTTTTCTCATTAAATCTCTGTGTGTTGAACATCTGGTTTGGCTTTAGGTTCATAAAAGCGGAAACTAAGGAATGCAGCTTCAAAGGCATAGTTTGAGGTTTTTGTTTGTTTTTATTTATTGGTGCTGGCACAGTGTCAGCACTGATTTTGCAAAGAACACCATAGTCTGTGAAGCTGATTTCATTTTGTGTTTTCAGACAGGACACTGGTGTTTTACATGGCACAAAAACAGAAGCGGACAGTTAGCTCCTCTGGTTTTGTCCAATATTCTGAGATTGAGAGACTACAAGACAATGCAGAGACCTCTTTATACGTATATGATTAAGACTAACAGTGACTGCAAGCATCTATGAAATGTAAGGACCATTGTGCATGCAGTTAAAAAAATTACTTTATTCTACCAAAGTTAGTTTGGTGTTTTTGTATCATTTAAGCCCTGTTTTTTATGTTTTAGTGTGTATTTGATCTGTCTGTGTTCATGTTATAAATCTGGAAAGACACCTTGGGGTTACCTGAGTTAAACAATACCTTCCACTGTATAGTTGACCTGCTGCCCTAAATGCCAGAGACCAATAAAGGAAGCCATAAAACTGGCAGAAAAACTAGTGTGTTACTGCGCCTGGTCTCAGTCACACGCTGTGGCACCACATTTACAACGGCTGCAGATTTGTCAGCGCTCAACAATAGGGACTGTATTAAAGAAACCTTCATGCTGAGGTTTTATTTGGCTCCCAGGAGGCAGAGTGGAGTCTGTAGTGTGAGAAAAGAAACAAACAGTATCAACCTCACTGACACCAAACCTGATCCTAATGAGACACAACTTCGTTTCTGGAACTTTTGGGAAGTTAATGGTCATATAGGAATCGTTTGCAACACAAACTTATAGAAAGTAGCTGCGTGTGTGTGTACATATGTGTCTGGATATGCGTTGGTAGAAAAGGTTTGTATATGATTTTATCACTTCCAGACTCTTGACTCTTGACTTTTATATTGTCTCAAGGAATTTTCTTTTCCAGCCATTATGAGTCAAGCAATTCATAAAAAGTCCTTATTTAACTTTATGGTTATTGTATAACCCAGCTTTACAACCACTTAGTTTTTTTTTAAAGATAAAGTTAGAAACCAGTAACTCACTGTTCCTACAATAAAACATACAGTAGTTGTTATACTTGATTTACCTGCTGGAGAGCTCAAAGTAATTGTGCCAACTAGTCTCCAACACAGCCAACTTCTGATTCTCTCTTATTAAAAATATAAACTTATCTCTACAAGAGCAGTCAAAAAAAAAAGGTTGATCGAACCAAGGGAAAGTGGGCTCATCATACCACCAATTGGTCCCACAATTATATACACCAATTATTTTTTTCCCTATTATTTATGTTCTGGCTTTTTTGGACTATGTCAAATTATAATTTAATGTGCCATACAAGAGGATCTGGAATGTGTGACTGAGATCATGGAATGATCTGGAAAATAATCACTAATGTTGAACAAGCAACATTTTCCGCAGATCCGTTTGCTTCCTAAATAAGTGGCCTTACCACTTGCGGCTTAATGCCACAACATAGATTCATCTACCCAGTTCTTATATAAGGTCTGTGGTCTCCACTCAGCTAATCGCACAATTTTCCTTTTCAGGTTTTTACAGCTGGATTGCGTCATTTTAGTTTTATTATTGAGACTTTTTCCCTCATTTTTTTATGTCTTACAGAGAAGGAAAATATAATAATAATAATAATAATAATAATAATAATAATAATAATAATAATAATAATAATAATAATAAATAAACAGACATTGTGCCATTAGTTAATGCTAAGGAAGTCCATGCACATTAGCTAATATGCTGCTTCTATTTAAAAATAAAAACGAACACTACGTCCCCATCTCGCCCCTGGTCACGTGACTGCAGTGGTGCCCAGTTGTGGAATGAACCATTTGACCACACACAGTTTTAAGGGGTGGTCGCGGTTCTTTGAGTGAGGGTAACGACGGGAAACGATGTAGGTGAGCGGACTCTTGTCGAATCTTTGGCGTTTTCATGGGTCAGAAATTCACGGATTTGTCCGATGTAATTAATGTAACCAAACAAAACCAAATAGCCGGGCCCCAGGGACGCAGCACCATGGTCAGTCCCGCTTTCACGGTTCTTCCACACTTGGAGTGACCCGGGTCTTGGTGAATGTAACGGTACTTTTTCTTTCCCCTGTGGGCCGATGTACATGCACCTGCTGCGAAGAAGAAAGAACGAAAGAAAAGACTAAGAAAAGATCTGTTAATTTTTGAATTCATTAGGAAACCTGTGTCTTTGCTCAGCAGAATTAGCAGAGGCCAGCTCCTTTGATCTGTACGTCTGAGGACAAATACACAGAAATCTGTGTTGACTTTGACCAGGAATAAAAATAACCCTGACCATTAAACAGGCTCCAGCAGAACACACACACACACTCTTCATCAGGTCAGTAAGGAGAAAATAAATCGTAGGACAGTGTTTTACATCTAAAGGCAGAAGTCAAATGCAAAGAAGGCCGTATATTTAAAAAAAAAACAACAAAACATCAATGTAGATCGATTCCACTGTCTCATTCGTTACTTTTTTTTCCCATAGAAGGTGAAATTGACTTGGTAAATTACGATACTCTACTTTCTTACTTGAGTAATAATTCTCACAAGAAAAATCAATGACACAACACTGGTCTGTCAGCCGGGAGTTAAGGATACATGTTTAACCCACTCACCCTGTATGTTTAAACATTAGAAGCAACACAATAAGTAATAATTCATCAAGTTAATGTTTTCCTAAATTGAGGCTGAAATCAATGGAGCTAGAACAGTCTCGAAAAGAATAAACACACAAACAAGGATTCACAAATGTACTTTGGAAATTCACAAATGTATGCATACATGAAGATATTTGTTAGTTTCATAAAATAAGTTAAATATGTTAAAAAGTGCATTATAAACGCGTGTTAGACAATTCACAAATGTATTTTATGAAACTAACAAATATCTTTACATGCATACATTTGTGAATCCTTATTTGTGTATTCTTTTTGAGACTGTTCTAGCTGGGCAGTACAGATCGATGAATCCCACCCATGACTTTGACTGTCATCATAGATAAGGAGATAACAAAAGCTGGACCGTTGTCAGAAAAGACACTCCCTTTTCTGACTTCCCATGTTTGTCTTTCTCTTTTTCATCACTGTCTTTTTGTGCATGTTTGACACAGCTGTCTGAACCAGCGATGGCCGATCTGCCACCACCTGAGCAGGGACACCCACTGCTGCTGACCAAGACCCATAATGGAACCATACCTGACGGGAAAGAAGCTCCCAAGGACAGGTTGCACGCCAGAGGCCAGTGGGCTAATAAGGCAGAGTTCCTTCTGGCTGTGGCAGGACAGATCATTGGTCTGGGCAATGTCTGGAGGTTCCCTTACCTCTGCTACAAGAACGGTGGAGGTACAGTGATAGAACCTGTGTGTTGTGTTGTATTTGCGTAATACAGTGACATTGTAAATTGTGATTTATTTTATTACATAGATATATAAATTGAAGTATAGATTATTGTTGAAAATGAATCAGAACTCCCTTCATTTGTTTTGATCTAAGGTCACCAACAGCTAGAGTACAGGAAATTGCCTTTGCAATTTCCAAAAATGTATTAATTAGATTACAGAGCTACAAACATAACATAAAAGAAGCCCCTTTAAAAAAATGATTAAGGAGGGGATTATTCTGTGGTAACGCTAATGAGTTTCCACAGTGTATCACATCTGGTTGTGATAATTGGTGTTGTTTTTATGTTGAGGTTGACTAGTCAGTTGTTAGCCTGTGTATAAAAAACTATTAATCTATTATGATATTGTGCTACTGGATTTAATGTTGTAATCAGGGGGTCCTCGGTTTATGACGTCCTTGACTTACGGCATTTCCTGGTTATGTCACCATCGCCCATACATTTATTAAGGAAGTCTTGTTTCATCATTCTGTTGTACACGTTAAAACAAATTTAGCACAGGACCTAGTTGGAGCAAAAGGTTACGTTGTCACAGCTCTTTACTTGGAAGGTGGCTTTGTTTTCATTTGCCGGTTGTACACCATACATTGGATTGTACTACATTCACTTTTTTCATTTGTGTTGTTTTTTCTGTTTCTTTATTTTTTTTACTTTTTACCCTTCATTATTGCTCCCAAGCTTAAATCAGACTTTTCTGCAGTTTTTATGTCCTAGGTTATGACGTAACCACTGTGTTAGTGTAGGTGAGTAACATAGGTACTTGTATGTGAGTTCCGACTTACCAAGCGTTACTGTGCGTCGTACCATAAGAATGGAGTCCCAACGCCACTCGAGGACCGCCTGTATATGTTTGACGTTTGGACTGTCCACAACAGTCTTTATAAACACACTTGCTCCTATGTGTGTCCAGGTGTGTTCTTCGTGCCATACCTGGTGTTCCTGGTGCTGTGTGGCATCCCACTGTTCCTGCTGGAGTCATCTCTGGGCCAGTACCTGAGCCTGGGAGGTGTCAGCGCCTGGAGAACCATCTGTCCTCTCTTTGGAGGTGAGCTCATCTAAAAACACTATGTCCCTCTATACAGCCCATGTTGTTAGCTTGTGCACTTTAATTAAGGTATACACTTTAGTATTTGTCTGTATGTGCATGAATTATTTAACTTTATAAACAGTGAGGTTTGTTTTTTACAATAAAATATAATAGGTGCATGAAAAAACTTGACAAAATTGGATTTCATATCTTGTCCCTTTGTATCAGGGACTAAAAATCTTCCTTAAAAAGTGCAAAAACGCTGTATGTTTGCTCAGTTATTATTATTCACATTCTTACCTCAGGACTTTTTGTATTTGACTATTCTAGTTAGGCCACAGACCTTTTTGAACAGCTTTTTAAAATGAAATTAACATTTATCATCCTCTTTAAGTCAGCCTTTTTGTACAAAAACTGTAGTCTCCAGTGAGCCAACACTGAATAATCCAAAAACTCATAGAAAATATTAATTATCCTCTTAAAGTTAAACCTGACGCTCCCTGCCCTTTGTGTTTAAAGTTCAGCAGTATGACATACCTCACTGATGTCAACTTAACATGTGGGAGGAGAGTGAATCAGCAGCTCTTGTGTTTCAATGCAGATTTTACTCTGTGGACAAGAGTGAAGAGGGAGAGCCCATATCTATCTTTTTATTTATTTTTCCTAGTCCTAACAACACAAAACTTGGAAGATTTAGCAGCGCTAGTGACCTGCATGTGTGTTCGAATCCAAAACCCAAAATCAAGCAATAGAGAAATGCTCTGTAGCTGCCAGAGTGTTGCTTCTAAAGGATTCTCTACTGCAAACAAACACAGGCTCTCAGTCAAATATTTTACTTTACACAGCGTGGAACAGAGCCGGGCCCCTGATCTGATACTCTTGTGTGGAGCTGTGCTCATTAGCTGGGAAAATCCAAACGATTCAAGAACAGTGGGTCATTTTAGCCATAAAACCAATGCCTGGAGGAAATTAATCCAGTCAGCGTTATAAATGATGTGACAGATTTACCTGCAGTGAGGCTCCGAAACACCAAAACTGAGCTTTACTCCCACTGTGTCAACGTTACGAAAACCGATTTGAACATTGTACAGTAGGAGACTCTGCTCGTCACATTTACAGTGTTTGTTCCTGGGAGATAAAATCCTTTTCTGCAGCCACAGTGCCGTTTAACGAGGAGCTGTGCTTTTGGACGCTGGGGGTAGTGTTCAACAGAACAGTCTGATGTGACGTGTGTCGTGGAAGGCTGACTATATTATATAACTTGCTCTGCATGTTTTATGTCACTCTGTCCACCACACAAAGTCCATAGAGTAAATCACCGTTTTTCTCTGCACGCGACACTTGATACTGCTGATCCTCTGCTTCTTGGTTAAGCAAGTTTATGGCTGTAGGGGTGTAAGAAAATAGTCATACACTGAAAAAGTGCAATATTTTGTTGCACGATACCGTGCAGAAATTCTACAGCACTGTATGGTATTTTTTAATTGACAATTGACATGCAAATATTCAGTATTCATTGCAAATGTAGATCACTCAGCATAGTGTGTTTACTATGCTGACAGATTTCCTACAATGAAATTGTTAAAAAACTAAATACATCACTTTAGTATCACAGTATATTGCAATATATCGTATATTTTCCCCTTTATCGTATTGTCAGATTTGGGCCAATAAACACCCGGAATGTCTACTCAGGAAAGCTTCTAGATGGTGACAGTGAAGAAGCAGCAGAGTGGGGTCTTCAAGAGCTTCTTGAAGATAAGCACCTGTTTTATAAAAATAACCAAGAGGCTTCTGCGCATTAACAACTCTACTGTAGTGTTGGAGTGCTCTGCAGTGTAACAACTGTTTCTGGTTTTGTCTGGTTTTCCAAATTTAAATGTAAACAAAGAACCATCAGCCATTGTACATTTTAGATAAAAAGCATTCAGAATCATGAGCCTTCAGAAAAACAATATTTAGAAGAGAAAAGTTCATAAACACAAAGAACTCTTTTGCAAGACTTTGTCTGTGGTTTGCAAATCTCATATCACATCATTAGATACAAGCCTGGAGTTCAACAGTGCAAACATTCTCCAAAAACGTCACTTTCTAACCCACTCACAGCTTCATAAGACCATCATTCATTCCTAATAAGGATGCAGGAGACGTGGGCCGCACGTTGACTGTCTCAGTAAATGGATTCTTTCATATAAAACGCCAGCGACTGAATAAATTATGAAAGATTAAAGCTTGAATAGACTGAGGATGGTTGTTATGTGTGTCACCCTGCAGGCCTGGGTTATGCCAGTCAGCTGATCATCCTGCACGGCTGCGTCTACTACATCGTCATCCTGGCCTGGGCCGTCTTTTACCTGTCCTACAGCTTCCAAGCCGAGCTGCCGTGGTCCCACTGTAACAACACGTGGAACACTGGTCCGTGAAGACCAGGATTTTAATATATCAACTCAAAATCTGTAGTTGAAAAAACATAGCATCGAAAGTCTGTTTCTCTGCAGAGGCCTGTGTCCTGTTTGATCATTACAACAAGACAGCCAACGAAAGCAGCCTGCCTCAGAATGCATCATCACCTGTCATGGAATTCTGGGAGTGAGTCATTCAGTTTGTCTCTGCTAATATTTATGTGCGCTTTTCTTAAAAACAACCTGGAGCAGAACATTAACCCGGCAGACCGGCAGTTTTGTTTGGTTTGGTTGCACGAGATACTGACACATTACCAGCTCAGTTGTGTCAACACTGTGCCGCAACACAAAGACTACGATCACAAAAGAGCTATGCACGTTTTTTTCAAGGTTAAACCACACCTTGCAGCAAGTTTGTATTGTTAGAAGCTGTTTGTTTTTGCACCACATCCCATATGTCTCAATATCAGAGATTTGACAGTTCAGCTCAAAGCTGTCCTCGGTCCACTGCTGCTGACATCACAGTTGTGTTATTTGACTTTTCTGTGTTTAGAGTCTCTCACTTCAGTTACACAAACCAGGCCAATGACACAGCTTTTGTTAAATAAACCTCATGTCCCAGGGCTAAACACTGTCCTGCTGCTAGTTTCATTTTAAAGCATGTTTGTCTTCTAGGCGAGAGGTCCTTCACCTGTCCAACAGCTTGGATGAGCTGGGACCGGTCAACTGGAAGATGGTCCTGTGTCTGGCCGTCGTCTGGATCATCTGTTACTTCTGTGTCTGGAAGGGAGTCAAGTCCACAGGGAAGGTAAAAACACACTGACACCTTTGACATTGTCATCAACACACCGTGTTTTGTCCTCACTGACGCTGTCTCTATATTTAGAATTCCCAGATATAGTTTCAGAGAGTAGCATTTCATCCCAGCAAAGTTCTGGGAACATATGGGGTTTGACGCAGTTTTAGTGACGAGAGCAGTGAATCTTAAGTGAGTCTTGAATACAAACACCTGCATCCGTGTACGTTTTCTAAGTTTTAAGTTTCTAGATAAGTTGGTAAACTTTCCTAAAAAATAAAGTAAACTCCCAAATTATAGTTAATGTTTTTGACTGCCTACAGTCCAGATCAGTTTCCTGTTCGAAATATTTGGTAAATCTTGATGAGGTGAATCAGACACAGCACAAATGAAGACATGAAAAAAATAGCGTAGGGCAGTGTTTTTTCAACTTTGGGTCAGAGCCCCACATGGGGTCACTTGGAATTCAAATGGGGTCAGCAGAAATGATTAGTAATTGATAAAAATAAATACCGATAGAAAATATTATTTCAACTATTATCCTTTTTTAAATGTTGATTTAAACACCACTACAAAATCTTAAACAACTATATTTTTCCACTTTCATAAATATAAATCAAAGTTCAAATAAAATGTACCAAATAAAAATATCTGAGCTGGCTACTAAAATGTCTCACGGGGCGCCAGAAATTTGTGATGTCAAAATGGGGTCACAGGCCAGAAGGTTAGAATTATTTTTAGATTTGATGCAATGTGTTGTGATTCCCATAGACATCAGTGGGACAACAGAGTTTTTTATTATAAAGTTTTCTAAGTTTGAAGGAAGTTAAGTCGCACTTTTAACACTTTGTTTTTATTTCTGGTTAAACAGCAAACATGGTAAAATTTGCAGCAAAGCCCAAATCTCTGACACAGCTACAGTGCTACAAAAATAGCATTGTTGTCAAACACCAGCATCTGTCAACTTTCCCTCTTTAACTGTTCTGTGTTTGGGGACATCACAAACCAATCCTTCCTGATGTCTCTCCCACTTCCCTTGCTGCCTGACCACTCATCCATGACCTCCAACCATCTCCTCCACTCGACTCCACTCCCCCTCCACCTGCTGTGTGTACATACTAGGTGGTGTACCTGACGGCCACCTTCCCATACATCATGCTGTTTGTTCTGCTGGTCCGGGGAGCCACGCTGCCCGGAGCTGTGGAGGGCATTGTGTACTACCTCAAACCCAACCACACCCGCCTGTCGGACCCACAGGTACGTCACAGACAGTTTGTTGTAGCACCAGAAATAATTTTTAACAGATAAAGAAGAAAGATTTCACTAAATGGAAAAACAAGGTCAGTTTCACATTAATGTCAGTTAAATATCTGAGTAAACACAGACTATTATTGAATCAACTCAGGAATGTGAGTTTTCCTTTATGAATTTTTTATTAGAAAAATAAGAAAAACTTTAAAAATGTTGACTTGAGTGTTTGCGATTAAGGAGAACGGCACAGAACCAATTGCATTTGTTCAACCTTTGTTGATTAAATGTTTTGCTTTTGAAAAGAAAACACAGTAGTAAAGTACAACAGAATGGGAAAAATGTAATTTCTTTTATCTCAACATTTGACATGAAAAGTCTCCTTCTTTAATTTATTTGTATTTGACTTTTATATTGACAGCTCTCTTTGCCTCTCTTTGACATTTTTGGTCTTGCAATTATGTTAAATCAGCGTCGGCCACTTCAGGAGACGGAAGCAAAAAATCCTGTAAATGAGGATTTAATATTGTTGTTGGTTTGTTTTATCCATTTAGTTTTTACCGTTCAATGTAATAAAGTGAAATCTATATTGATTAATTTATGATGTAGAGTTTAGTGCTATTGTCTGTCGTGTGACCCTGGGACATTCCGGTAAAAAAGTGATTTATTTTACATCCCGACTGACGAAGATGAAGGCAGCAGGACAGCATCCAGATATTTTAGTGAAACAACTGGAAGTAGACGTGACAGAGGTTAAAAAAAACATATGTGGACACACAAACATTTGCCCCGCCCACTTCAATCTCACCATATACAAACAATCTCCCTTCACTCACAGCAGAGCCTGTTATTAGGATAAATTCCATTTTTTCTACTTAGTTCAAACAAATGAAGACGGTATGAAAATCTCCTCATTCCCATTCATTTTCATCTACTTTCTCCCAATCCAAGGTCTGGATGGACGCTGGCACCCAGGTCTTCTTCTCCTATGGCATCTGTTTGGGAAGTCTCACTGCACTGGGCAGTTACAACAAGTTCAACAACGACTGCTACAAGTAAGATGTGCTGCCACACACACACACACACACACACACACATTCATTCACATGCACACAGCCTCACACGCAGAAAGGGCTCGAGACTTGAGGCTTACGGCTAAATTCCACTTAAGACACACTTTGTTCCCTTTCAAATGAAAGATGTGAGTTCCCACTGGTCAGATTTCCTGCAGGAGGAATGGCTGGAATGGAGAGAGAAAACAGACTGATACAGCCACACCTTCAAGAAAAGCCATGTTTCCCACACTCCGAGACTCGCTCCCTCCCCAACCCTCCGTCCCACACACACACTCAACACAATAAGCACTTGACTCTTACAGTATAGTCAGAACATGAGAAGATAGGGCTCTAAAAGCAAAGCCAGAGACAAAAATCACTGGAAGGGATAATTCAGCTTCTTCTGATGTGCACATTTATGAGGTGTGGACAGCTTAACGGTACTGACCGCACTGGGCGTGACCGGCTGTGACAAGAACAACTTTAAAACTGGCTGCCATTCTTTGACGCAGAAAACGTGGCTCATGGACAGAAATCAATGATGGTTTTAAAATAAATAAAAGCTTAACTTTAGGCTTCTGCAAATGTTTCCCATGAAGAAACGTTTTCCACCAAAAACAGAGTTTATAAAAGAGAAGTTTTTATCCTCTGCCAAAATCCATAGACATAATTATTATTTTTAGCATGCACACAAACTGCTCTCCTCTTGCCTAGTTTAGTATTTTTATATTTTTTATATCCCCAGTGTGGGATCAATAAAGTTCAGTCTAATCTAATCTAGTCACCTGATTTAATAATTGTTTTTGTTTTTTCCTACAACCATTTCTCATTTCCAGTCTCTTAACAGAAAAGTCCCTGACCCTACATGTGTCATGTGATCATTGTTCGCTCTGAGAAACTGTCGATCAACAGCTACTTCCATCCATCATCATCAAATGTTTTGGTGATTTGAGTTGTTTGAAAGTCAGTCATCAACTGTTGGTCTAGAAAACACTGGAATAACTCTAGACCTAAGCAGCAAAAAGAATCATGTATTGTTCCTTTATTAATTTATTTTTAAATTGTTTGTGTGTTTTTTGTGTGTTTTTCCAGAGACTCTTTCATGCTGTGTCTGTTGAACAGTTGCACCAGCTTCCTGGCTGGTTTTGCCATCTTTTCTGTGCTGGGCTTCATGGCCCAGGAACAGGGTGTGGACATCAGCAGCGTGGCCCAGTCAGGTGAGACGGAGGTTTGAGAGAGGCAAGAAGGACAAAAGAAATAAAACACTCACTTCTTTGCCTCTTCACCTTTGAGTGCTGATTTTAAGGATATTATTATTTTATTATTTTAAGTTATTGATGAGCTAGTCTCCTGATTTGAAAGTTCAATTCAGGTCTTTTCAACTATATTTTGTTGGGAGCCACATCAAACTCCTACTATTCTTGTTGAACAACTGAAATGAAATTACAAATCAGTGCATTTTATTCTAAAACTGCTATTCTTTTGCTTTGCTGCATTAGTTTCATGCCCAGCCCCCTACTTTGGGAACCATTGCTGTAAGGCAAGTACACTAACCACATCAACCGTGAGGCCAGCAATAGCTAAATAAGTACAAAAAAAAGCTCAAATTTAAGTATGAAATGTTTAAAGGTTACTTGCAAAAGCTAAAGTTTCTATATCTAATATATAAAAACATTGGCCAAGAGTTCTATGTCATGCTAATCTTTAGCATCCATCCATCCATCCATCCATCCATCCATTTTCATCCGCTTATCCGTTACCGGGTTGCGGGGACAGCAGTCGCCACCCAAATCACACTGCACCGTACCAACCCCCCAAACCTTCCTGCGGGTGGTGTGTCCACTGGAAGGTATTAACCGCCCTAACCGGGATTCGAACTTGTCCAGGAGGTGAACCCTGGGGTTCCACACCAATGACAGAGACATTGCCTCTGGGCCAAAGCGCCACTAATCTTTAGCATATCCTTTAATAATCACCACAGACATGTTGTGCCAGTGGAGCAAATAAAGTAAATAACTCGTTTTTAATAAATAATAGTTATAATAGTAGTTAGTGTCTCTGCGGTGTGTACTGGTTTGTGTAGTCCCAGCTGATTTTGTGTGTGTCCTCTCAGGACCTGGCCTGGCCTTCATCGCCTACCCCAGAGCTGTAGCCTTGATGCCTCTTCCTCAGCTTTGGTCCATCTGCTTCTTCCTCATGATCCTCATGCTGGGGCTGGACACCCAGGTAGGAGAGGCTCCCACTGATCTGATCTGTCGTCTGTATTTTATTAACGTAAACCAGCAAACACATCCCCGCTGACCTGGTCTCCCTCTGTGTGGTCCAGTTTGTGAGTCTGGAGGCCCTGATGACGTCAGTGACTGACCTGTACCCTCATCTGATCAGACGAGGTCACCGTCGTGAGCTAGTGCTGCTATGCATCTGCGTCGCCTGCTTCCTGATCGGACTGGTCATGGTCACGCCGGTGGGTAACACTCAGGTTAGAAGCATTGTTTTTTGTCTGCTGCTCGATCGGATGACGTTAAAATGAGGATTTTTCTCTCTGCACCAATGTAGGGAGGCCTGTACGTGTTCCAGATCTATGACCAGTTCTCCTGCAGCGGGGCCACTCTGCTGCTGCTCTCCATCATGCAGTCCGTTGCCATAGGCTGGGTCTATGGTGAGAAACCTTTAATCTCTCCCTACGTTAGGACCAAATCAAGCTAGTAAAAATTACTTAAAATCAAAAATTGCATTTGAGTCTTAACCTGAAATTAACAGCAGAAAAAGATACAAGGCGAGAATAGAGTAGAATAGCTTTTATTTTCATTGAACCTTGAAATACGCAGCCATGTTTGTCGATTTGTTGAGTTTTTAAATGACATATTTTGTACATATGGGGAAAAAAAGACAAATTTGGCCCCAGTACTGAGTCTTATTCTGAGGTGGGAATTATTACATACTACATACCAAATGAGAATTGTTTTGTTTTTTTCTCCTTTAATATAGTATTTTAATTACTTTAATGCAAGTAATTGTGTCAAATTATTTTTTTATCCATAAATAGACCAGTTGAATGTAGTTTCTCATTGAATGTTTTTCGCAATATTTTAAAACTCTGTTATTGCTAGAGTGAAGTGTAATTGCTCCTAAATCCACACTGACGCCCACTCAGTGGTCCAAATGTTTAACTTAAGTTATCTTATTGTTTTTCAAGTCTTTACCTCAAAAACTTGAAAGAATAGTTGCTATTTTGAGTTTGTAAGAATGTATAACATTTTAAAACAAAATTTAAACACACTGTAGACACCACATAAACGATAGTGTGTAGTGACAGTGAGAAAATAGTTTTCAGAATGAGAACTTAAATTCCTAGTTAGAAAAGGTTTCTTGAAATATCCTTCAATGGTCAAAGAAACTCATAAATATTAATAGTATAATGATTCTAAGTTGAATAAAAAAAAATCCCTAAATGAACTGCAGGTCACTTGGTCCACTTCCTCCCCTCCTCCTGCGTTTGTTCCTCTGAGACTCAGTATATTAACATGGCTGCAGGTACCCACTGGTACAAGGACTGGCTCAGAGCCAGGCCCCCGTCTGTCTCTTTACAGGCCCTAAATCAGACCCTGAGACCCCGACCCCTCCCAGTCTTGGTCTCGTGGGCCCCAGGGAGCTTCTGTCCGAGCCAGACCTTTACAAAATATTTAAAGAAACCATATTTTGTGTGAGATGGACCGTGTGTGATCACTTTGGTTTAAAAGAGCTCCAGTGTTTAAACAGTTACGTAAAAAAAACCAAACAACTGAATTTTAATGTTTCAACAACAGGTGGGTGATGGTAATAAATTGTCTGTGGGCGTGGGTGCTAATGAATACCACTGCTACCTTATTTATGGCTGCACCAGCTGTAGGTGAGCACGGCAGCAGAGCTGCGACCCTCTGCTCCCTTTAAGAACTCTCAAGTGAGCTTTCGAGTGTTTAGTATCCAAAGCAGGGAGAAATGTTCACCATTACCTTGAGACATTACGGGGCACCATTTAGAATCACGTATCACAATTTTAGTATTTTGCAGTGTTCCGTTAAACTGACAAAATGACAAAAGCAAAAATGTTTAACAATCCTGCTATTTTGACCGTCCGCCTGAAACAAAAGTATATTTTTAAACAAGACATAGTCGTCACTGGAATTATAAAATAAGACTCAGCAAACTCTCCTGAACCAATAAGGAGCTGAGGTTTCTCAGCATCTCCACAAACCTGATAAATAGCATAGAGCAGAAACTTCATTTGTGATGAAGTGAACTGTTAAGAAAACACATTTTGCATCAACATAACAGTCCAATGTGGTGAATTAGTTTTAATACATTTCTTTATGCGTTTCTCAAATAACACAACAGCCTCTCCTGAAAATGTTTGAATTTTGTTTATTAACTGTCTTCCCTCCCGTCAACTGTCTGTCTTTGACCACAGGAGCGGATCGTTTCAGTGACAACATCAGGGAGATGACCGGCTACCGCCCTCTGCCCGTCTTTAAGCTGTGCTGGAAGTACTTCACTCCAGCTGTGTGCACTGTGAGTGACCCCTCCCTGTCTGAGTCGCCTTTAGACTGTTTAGTGCTGTGATATAGTATTTGCAAAAATACATGTCTAGGGTTTTTTTTTTTAAACAGATGTTGCCCTACTCTTTTTTTCCAGTCTGATTATTAGCAGCAGAAGTCTTAGTCTTAGAAGTGAATGCAAATATATCAATGCATATGTACATTCAAGAATTCTTTTTTGCTAAATTGCCCTTAGATTTTCTCTTCTTCTCCACCAGTGTTTGTTAATATCTGACTGCATTCCCTTAGTTAGTTAGTGTCTGTTTTTATTGATAAAGGGTAAAGACTTGACTCACTCCTTCCTGTAGGGCACTTTAGTCTTCTCCCTGGTGCAATGGTCTCCCCTCAGGCTGGGAAATGGTGTGGTGGCTCCAGTGTGGGCTACTGCACTGGGCTGGATCCTGACCCTATCATCTGTCTCACTGCTTCCCATCTGGGCCATTTACGCCTTGGTCACCACACCAGGAACTCTTTCACAGGTTGTTGGAGCTCTGCTTTACATCTGTTCGGTCCTATAATGGAAATATTATGCTGTGCTCTGGACTGAATTCAGTAGAAAATATAATATATTAATGTGTTTAACAATACATTTTTACAAGCTAAAATCTAGTTTTCTTCTATGGCCTGTGTGCAGGTATTGAACTGTAAAGTAAAGTATCATGATTAAGAACACAAGAACATCTGCTGCCTCATTGATGCTGTGAGTAATGTAACTAATCGACTAACTGTAACTGTTTGAATTCACAGCGATTCCATCATCTGTGCAGACCTGTCCAAATCTCACCACTGGGCTTCATACACGTCTCTACCAATAACAACTCAGCACTGCCACTGAACCAGGTGTCCAAGGAGCCAATCAGAGAAGTGACTGAAGATCCCATGACCTGATGAGCCAGCAAAGTTGCCACACAGTTACTGCTGCTGTAATGGAAAAGTGAGGTGATGATGTCATATTCATCTAGAATTCACCAGCCACTGACACATGTAAATACAGCAGAGATTCTTTGAAGCAATGAAGAGTTTAAAGTCATCTTTATGTAGAGTAATTATACTTATATTTTTCCCTATTTGAATTTAAGTTGAAGGAGGTCATAGTTTATCTTTTACTTTCTCAAAAAATAAATATTTGTTTTAGTACCAGGTTTTATAGCACAGGACTTGCACCAGCAACCGTTACCTGATGTAGCATTTGCATCATTGCATTCTATGGACTTCACTCAGTACAGGTTTAAAGATCTCAGAGGAGATTGATGTGGATTCTTTGTTCTGGTCTCAGTCTGATCCCGTGACTCCCTGCACTGCCTGCCTTGAGATGTGGACAGATACTACAGCACTTAACTTCTTTGGGTTGAGGCTTTAATTGATTTAAAAACGTTGATTTGTGCTGTGATGTTTGAGATAAAGGAGAAGATCCTAGATAGATTTACAACAGAGGTGGCAAAAGCTAAAAAGGCTAAAAAATGTAATTAAGTAAAAGTATCTTCAGTTTGGTTATATTCTACTCAGGTAAAAGTAAAGACACCCATCTAAAAATCTACTTAAGAAATGCTTAATTTAAACTTCAAGTAAAATTTGAGTAAAAGTTACAAAGTTACTTTAAATTATTTGATGCAAAAAGGACGAGTCAAACATCCAATCTGCAGCTAGTTGTTTTTAATCAACAATTCAAATACAAGTGGCATAAGTTGAGAATTCTGTGATCCATTTGAACGCTTATGCTGCAAACATCCACGCAATTCTTCTCTTTCTTTCAGTTAACGCAAATTGTTTTTCCTATCATTTAAATTTTTACTCAGTAAACAGTTCATTTTCCAAAGTAGCAAAAAGAAATACTTGAGTTGAAATGTACTTATCTATTCGCAAAACTACTAAAAAAAAATACTCACAAAAACTCCTCAATTACAGTAACGTGAGATAATGTAATGTGTTGCTTTCCACCTCTGTTCAACAAGATGCTGTAAAAGAAAATCACCTCAGTCTGGTTTAAACTTGAGCTGGTTGGCTTTTTCATGCCTACTATTTTAAATGGAGTAAGTTGCTGCTATTTTACTGGTTTAGGATTAGATGTACACATTTGACAACCAGCTGAAAAAGTGTCCTTAATGAAGTGACCTCAAATCAGATGTGGTGCTCGTTAAAGGTTGTTTTTTTTTGTATGCAGCTGCTCTGCTCAGCGCTCCCGTCAGATTGCACCTGCTGTGTAACCTGTAGTTGTTCTCCTGATTCACTGCCATGTGTCTGTTCTGAGATCATTAATGAGGAACCTCAAAGTGTTCTGTCCTGCTTTTAAAATCATTCAGCTGGTTCTTTATTTTGTTCGTTTTATAGCTCACAGTTTAATAATAGCCAATTGCACAATGTGCACTTGGACTAACAGACTCAAAGTGAGGCTGAAAACAAACTCACTCCGTCCTCTGTCCAAAACTCCGGCTCCTGCTGTGCTCCACTCACATGTGCTCGGTGTGGCCGTTACTCACTGCCAGATTATCTTTCCACTTTACTGACCTTCGTCATGCTAGCTTCATTCAGACTGTGCTCTATGTAATTTCATCTAATCTAATCATCTAATGTAAAAATTCCCTTCAGGTTTGGTTTGAACAGATCTGGTCATGTGACCTATCGCTGCGGGTCTGTCTAATCTGCGAACACTCTCCTGCAAATGTCATCTTCTGTGCAGGTCTGTGTGAAACCTCCACCAGTTGAAATCACTGATTATTTCTTATGGACTTGACTTGATTTGGACCTGTCAAAATACTCCCTCTTTCCACTAAAGATGTTTGTAATTTTTGTATTATTAATTCCTGTTTAAGAAATGCCTTTTTAAATTAAGAACTTGTTGATCCAACTGCTCCACCTTAACTGTCCCGCTGATCTGCTCAGTTCTAATCCTCATCATCTTCACCTCCTCCACCTCCAACTCGGCCTTTTGTCTGTTTGACAGAGACACTGTCTCTGAACCATGTAGCATCATAGCAGGTCTCACTACTGCCTTATAAAACTGACCTTTCAACTTTACTGCTATTCTTCTGTCAATTCACTCTCTGAGAAGATGCTGTGACACAGATAATAAAACAAACCAGTGTAGCATGTTAGTACATTTGATCTGCTGACAGATATTTTTGAATTGTGTCTCTGTTTGTTTGTAAACCAAAAAGTTCTCATGCAAATGTGATTGTGTCATTCTCAGGACTATTTTTTTAATTCTGTGAAAGCCCCACAGAGATTAATTTAGCCAAGTGAAACCATCTGATCTCTGACAAAGAGATGTGTCTCTGTTCGCTGCTAACTTTTTGACGTTGTTGTTAAACCTGTTTGTTTTTATGTACATTTACATTTATTACAGGTGAACAACGTTGTGTTGTGAGTAAAACAAGAAGAAAGTCAGTGTTGACTTGAATTTCTTTTTGTCTCTCCGGGGATGATGTTGTCTCCCTCTGTACCATGGTAACAGATGCTGAGGACACACCTGGTTATGTGATGAGAGAAATACACACACACACACACACACACACACCTCATCAAGCATTCAGCCATGCTCTTCTTCGCATCCTCAGCATTTTAATCCTGATGGGAGCAGCTTGAACCTGCAGAGAGTAGAGAGCTGTTGCAGCGGACGGTTGTTTTATGTCTGTCTGTCTGTGTGTGTGTGTGTAGTGAGGAAGCACAGAGTAAACAGGAGGAGTATCACAGCCTGAGGTTACTCTGACACTTGGATGGAACCAGGCTGTTACGTAAAAGGCCTGCGTTTGTCAATTGAACATATTGGATTGGATTCACTGTCATGTCAGCTGTCGTAGGAAGTGGGCCGGGCCACCGCGACCCACACGTGGCTCGGCACGCGTACGCTCCAACACACACTCGTGCAACTTGTTCTGATAATACACTTCCCTAAACGCTGCTCGCTTGTACACGTGTGGTGCTGCGTTTTCCTGCACCCTCTGTGTGTGTGTGAGTGTGTGTGTGTGTGTCTGCTTGCAGATAACAGAGCGATTTATGTCCATATGGTTGCTTTGGCATAACTGCAGCTTTTTAGATGATGAGGATTAAAAAGGATCCAACGGTTGGAGCGTGTGAGGAGAGGGAGGAAGTGGAGGACATTATGGGGATGTCAGCCAAAGTGTGCTTGTGTGTGATGCTGTGGGAAGTTGCCTTTTTTTCCTACTCCGCCTCAGTGCCACTGGTCTGCAGCTGCACCACACTACACCAAACACTGCATGGAAAATCAACTGAGAGCAGCTCTGTTTTTGTTGGTTTAGTGGACCTAACTTTAGGTCGGTTCTGGAGACTGGGTTAGAGCTGAAGTTTGTGGCTAAGAAGGGGGAAGCCTTTCACTTTAAAACCTGAATAATTCAAAGTGCAGGTGATGCTGCCTCCTCTGGCAGCAGATCAGTTTAGTGCAGGGAGTGGTGGAAATATACAGGTTGTAAAACAGACAGAAGTGGTTCAGGTTTTCAGAATGAACACGTTGAGTAAGTACATTTAGTTGAATCAGATAAAGTGTTTTAATGCATGGGTAGAATCTTTCCAATATTTCCACCACCCATCCAGTTATTGTTGGTCTAATACGCAGTCGACACACAAGTTGTTATTTAATCATACTGTGGGGAAATGACTTTGTTTTACGAAGCACATGGATCTCAAACTACGTCAATGTTTAGCTTGCGTCGTACCAGTCGATTAAAAACCACCAAATCTATGAGGATACATTTTGAGTTGTAGTTTTCCACACTTTTTTGGTATATTTTCCATATTGAAATACATACATCTTACTGCTGTTATTTGTTATTCTGTTCCAGCAATATACAAAAAAAAGTCCCATTTAGGAATTTTGATTTGTCTGGATAAATCAAAATAAATCATGCTTAAATATGATCATGATAAACTGTGATTAATCCACAGTTACCTTTTGTTTAAACAGATTAAAATCTTAACCATTTGACAGTCCTAACAGTTTTTCATTTGGAGAACAATGTGTCGTGATCACGTCTCAGATTGATCTTTCCTATGTTGTTGTCACAGATCAATGCCTGGACCACATCTCTACAACCTGTTCAAACATCCTCTTTCTCACACACACTGCTTCTTTGGTCTTTATTGCAGTCCTTGTTTTAACAGCAGGGAAAACACTTGACAGTTTAGTGTGAAGGAAGAAACAGTGAGTGAGGCAGGGTGAGGGGAAGAGATACTGGGTGAGGGCAAGAAGGAAGGACAGAGTAGAAAAAGTTAATGGAATAGATTTGTATTCAGCTGCGAGCTGCAACATCAGCTGGGCCCAAAACGTAATCCCAGTGACTCAGTGTCATCGACCAGCTTAAAAGTTTCCTTCACGACTTTTTTGCTCTTTTCTGGCTTCATGCAAAACTAGCCAAAAGTAACTTTTCCTTTTTCATATCCAAACCTACAGAAAAACTGTGCAGAAGATAGAGAGGTTACTTCTAACTTTGAAATGTACATTGCTTTAATTAAACTTTTAATTTTGAAGTACTGTATCTCAATCATGTAGGTTTACCCTTGTCGACCTACAGTGAGAAGGTGTGATAGAATGGTACGTCGTCACTCTCAACGTGGCTCGATGTCATAACGAACGCATCATTAAAAGTATTTTAATGAAGAATTGTGGTCATAAAAAATAGAACGCTGACGTATTTCACAGAGGAAGAGCAGGAGAACTGACTACATACTATCTTAAATATTTATTACAAGCTAACATTTTATTTCCAGAGTGGTACAGACAGCACACTGTGTTCCCTTTTCTTCACCCACTCCCTGCCTGCATCCCTCCCTGCTCCACCACCACCCACGCTGCTCAGTCACGTATTGGGGGCTTTGGATTAGTCTCTCTCTCTCTCTCTCTCTCTCTCTCTCTCTCTCTTTGGGGAGCCGACTCAGCCTCTGATCGTTTGATGTAACAAAGCTGAAACATAATATCTGCTCTCATGTTCTTATTTTCAGAGAGACAGGCCTCCCCCTACACACACACACACACACACACAAACACACTGAAATCTGAAAAACTGTCTGCTGTGTAAAGGTAATACCTAGTCGGTGACTCAGCAAATGAGCAGTGTTTTGGAACTTTTAAGACGTCTAACAAAAAGCCACTCTACTTGGCTCCAGTAGAGTGTGTTTGTGTCTGTGTGTGTTTGTGTCTGTGTGTTTGTGTCTGTGTGTGTGACTACTCAGGTATGCATTACTAAAGCTCCCACAAGTATGACATCCCATTGGCACTAACACTCCCGGAAAGGTACAATAAATAACCCTGACAGCTCCCAGGACACATCCAAACACCTGCACCGTCAAAACACACACGAGTGCAGGAGCTCCGATCACTATTTGAACATAGTTAAGGTGTTTTTGTGTGTGGTTAAATCAGGTTGTGAGCACTTGACCTCTGAGAACCACTCTGAGGTGAGCTGCAGAATTCTTGTACTTTCCTGAGTAACAAAACACATGTAGCTGCACTTTCTCCCCTGCAGAGGGTGCTGCTAATGCTGTGCTCTGATATTTTTATTATATACTGTTATCTTTCTTTCTTAATATTTATGAATATCATTGCATTTTCTGAAGCACAGACGTGGACGTTATCAGGTGAACCTTGGGAAAAGTATTTAAAACTTTGTTTTTTTTCCCTTTGTGTTATCAGGTAGTGACTGACTCTGACTGACTCTTGGAGACAGAAGCTTTCACACTGGGCTGAGTCAGTGCTGACAGCACCGCATTCAATGACACTGTTAAAAATGTAACTAAAGTTTCACCTTAAATGTGTAATGCTTGGAGCAGGAGAACTTCAGGGTCATGAATTATCTATTTCCCTCCACAGTTTGCTGAAACCTTCCAGTCAGTTTCTGCTGGAACATTTTTTTTTACCTTTAATTATTTAGGTGAAAGTGATAGAACAAAAAACTGCCAACAATGGTGATGATGATGAGGTGATGACGATCTTGGACCTCATGTTCATAGGGTGTTTTCAGGTTTAGGTGAATGTGTTGTTGTTGTTGTTGAAGAACTTGTTTTTCTCCACTTCAGACGGACTCCAGGTCTCTCTCCTCCTTTCCCAGGCACTTGACTTCTCCCCTGGTTTGAGGTGGAGAAGAAGAGGAGGAGGGATGGAGGGGTGGTGGTTGAGCGCAAAAGGGGGCAGGACTTCTCTCCGGCTCATATTAAGAGCAAACTTTGTGTTTTTGTTCTCCAAGTTCAGCTCAGTGCTCCTGCTGCCCGCACTCCCTGACTCTCCGTGGCTCTTACTCCGTTTCCCTCCTCAGTGGCTTTGTCTCCTCGCCTCTTGTTCACCGCTGTGCATTCAGGATATAGAGGGATGATGTGCTTTTTGGAGGCACAAACGCTCCAAGTTGTGCGCTGTGCAGCTGCCTGCCTGTTTTAGTGGATACATCGATGTTTTTGGGCTGGCATTGAACAATGGTGCGGCTCCTCGGTGCTCTGGCCGGGCGCAGACTCTGGTGTCGGCTGTTGTTGCTGTGCGCCGTGGAGTTGGAGCTGGGCGCAGGACTCTCCGTTTTCCAGGGTTTCTATCTTCCACCTGCGAACGGCTCTCTGTTGGCACCTGCCCGCAGGACCGATGGAATGGTGCGGACCATTGACCGGATTTACCACGGAGGAGGGAAGGTGGGATATCTGCTGTACCTGGACGGGAGCCGGTTCCAGTTGGACATGGAGCGGGACGAGTCGGTGCTATCGCATCACTTCAGTCCCCAGTACGTGCACGCTCTGATGGGCGACAGCCATGCGCCCTTGCCGCGCGAGTGCGCTTACCGTGGCACGGTGGACTCCAACCCAGAGTCTCTGGCCGTCTTTCACCTGTGCGGTGGCGGACTGGAGGGCTTCTTCGCCATCAATAACTCACGCTACACCATCACGCCTATAGTCAGGGCGCAGGGACACGAGCACGACGCGCGCGTCCTGCAGGACAAAGACGCGGAGAGCGCGCTCCACGCTTTTACGCGTCAGAGCTTTAGTTTCGAGGCCATGCGCGATGGACGCGAGAGCTGCGGGACGCGGGACGGGCGCAGAGGACGCAGGGACGCCACGGGAAGACGCCGGCGCCAAGGACACGGGAGAGGGAGACGCGACAGAGGCGCCAGTGACCGTGACGCGCAAGGACGCAGATGGTGGAGCCGGTTGGTCAAAGCTGCCGCTCCGGAGCCTGGCGCACGGCGCAGACGCTCCGTCTCCCGTGCCAGGCACGTGGAGCTGCTCCTGGTGGCGGACGACTCCATGACCAAGAAATATGGCAAGGACTTAAACCACTATTTGCTGACTTTGGCCTCCATTGCCTCAAAGCTGTACGGACACGCCAGCATCGAGAACCCGGTCCGACTGTCTGTGGTGAAGGTGACGGTGCTGGGGGAGAAGGAGAAGGGGCTGGAGGTGACCAAGAACGCGGCTGCGACGCTCAAGAGCTTCTGCAAGTGGCAGAACCAGCAGAACCCACTGGATGACGACCACCAGCACCACCATGACGCGGCCATCCTCTTCACCAGGCAGGTAAAAAAACAACAACAACAACAACTCACACACAAACTGCTCTCACATTCTAACACCTGTGCTGTGACCAGACCTGTGGTGCCATGGCAGCCAGAGAGGGGGCACCCAAATATTTAAGGCGCCCTAAATAAAGAATCAAATATTATTTTTTAATCATATTTCTGCTTTGCAAAATGTACATTAAATCTTTTACCCCCGTGCAGGGGGCATTGTTGTAATTTCTTTTTTTAAAACCAGATTTTAGTGCTACAATTTGTAAATTATATATATACATATACATATATATATACTTTTGTCAATCACGTGATTTAGGAGTGCTACACTGTGTCAGTGAGTGTACTACTATAGTGAGCTCCCTTTGTCTGTGCAGCTGCACACCTCCAGCAACCATGTGCTAAAAATAATTAAATAATTAAACCCAAGACCAGTCTTCTTACCACAAATCATTATTTTTACACATAATTCTTCAAAAACAAAACATTGCATTCATCAGAACCAAACCTGCCTGATTTTTTGTGATGTCACAGTGGTTTGATGATGTAATGGATGTGATGGCAGCGAGTTGAGTTGCAAGCTGGAGTAGCTGTCAGTAAAAATCATTACATCACTCATCCACCTTGGCTTAAACGAGGCAGCGTACCTCTCATTGGTGCTGCTGTTGCTGTGACTGAATCATCTGCAAATTTTGTGAAGAAAATGTGGCTCAAAGTCTCCTTTGACTGATGGATGCTCACTTCTGTTTTGCTGACACATCTTCAAAGTTCATGAAGTACAAATGTGTACCTTCATTCAAATGCATTTGGGCCTTAATATCTATTTCTAGACGCTGAGTTTCTGCTTCATGTTCTTTCTCCCTGCTGTAAAAGAAAACCCATCGAGACTATGTGTATAAAAAGGTTGACCTTTGGCTTTTATCTGGTCAGAGTCCTTAAAGCAGGTGTGTTTCCAGCTTCACTAACTTTCTCCACCTTTTAAAAATACTGCAGTACTTGTAACGACCCAACTGCATGTTATGTTTTGACTGAGCCACTGCTTTTACAGTAGACCAACCAAACCCCGTTTGAGTTACGGTCGGTCAGAAGTGAAGACTACACAACCTGCTCCCCACATGCTCCTGGTTACACCCACTCCTTTATTATTTGTTTTCCTTCTCCTACTCACACTGCCCTCCACTTCTTTTTGCTGAATCTTGCGTGCGTAATGCGGCACTGTGCCTGTGAAGCAGCCATAAAGACTCTACTTCCTGTGCCTGCTGTTTTTCTGGGCAGGCTCCACTGTCTCCTCACTCTTACCCCTCCCGGTCCCTTGACGGCCTCGGAAAGCCTGTGTGATCTGAGATGTGTGCACGTGATCCAGCACGCGCATTCTTCCCAGGCTTGGAGGCTTAATGTCAGCTGCTGGTTTCACTGCAGAAATATTCCTAATGGTTGGGATGGTTCAGGTTTTTTCAAACTGGCTTAGGAGGCACTGCTGCATCTGTAGTGAATAACTGAAAGCATGGCTGCCATTTAAAGGTGATCAAAATAGATTTTCTCTCAAAAAACAAATGAATCATACAAAAGTCATTTTTAATTGGCCACTAGGAGTGTAAGGTGGTGCACTCAACTGAGGAGATGGTGCATTCTCCCTCTGTTTGCCCTTTTAAATTTTTTTTCTCCTGCAATTTCACGACTTTAATACTTTGCAAACTGCAACTTATGTCGAACTCCAGGACTTAGAGAACTATAGACGGATTTATGTGGCCTAACCTTTGCGGCTCTATAGCTGCATTCAGATATAATGTATAGTCTATGGAGAAGTGAGCAGTGAAACAGAATCAGCGTATAAAAGGCTAAGTGTCTCTAATATAAACCCATCGATTATTGTAGCCGATGCTAGGATCCACAGTAGCATCGGACGACTTGTCCTACTGTGATGAACTGTTGATTGAAACATGTTTGATGTCGTGTTCAGCAGCCTGCTGCCTGTGTCATGGCTCACACATTGCAGTAACTGTTCATGTGAAACATGTTATAATGTATTTAAGATTCATATTTAACACCCGCACAGTCAACTCATTGACCAGGGCCTACAAACTGTGTTAACAGCACTCCCTACAGGGAAGAGGGGAGTTGTGCATAAAAAACTGTTTTTGCTATTTAAGGCTAAGACTAAAAACTTCTGTGTCTTTTCATCACTTCAAAATTAGATTGTTGATGTGTAATCACATATTTTATTTTGTTACATTTGTGGGTGATTTTTTTTTTTTTTTTTTTTGCTGTTGAATGAAGAGCAAAGGAAGTTCCTGCTGCCAAAGCATTGACCTTTTTCATGGAGTTTCGTTCAGCAGTATGATTAGTGTGCAGATGGAAAAAGCTGTGTAAAATACAATGGCAGAGCCTCAGTTTTTCATACACAACACACCAAAAAGGCTGAACTGTGCCTTTAAACTCCCTTGAAATGACTCTTAGTTGGTCGTGAGCCCAGTGCTGGAAGTTCACCCTTTCTCTCCCCACTTTGCACATTTTTTCCCAGTTAGTTCTCCAGCGTCTGTCAGCTGAAGCTGGGAGCTGTCAGAAAAACAAACACATCCACCCTGTGAGAAGCCACTCGCTCACTGAGACCACACATTTTTTTTCTCTACTCTTCTCTCTCTCCTTTACTATCCTTCCCTTCTTCCTTCTAATTTCATCGTCTTTCCTCTACTCTCCTCTCTTCTGCTCTACTAGCCCCTCCTCTTCCATCCCTTTCTCTCCTCCTTCCTTTTCCACCCCTCTGTGCCTGCACACTTGTGTATTCCCTCTCCTGTCCTCTCATTTCCTGTTCTCTCCTCTCTTCTGCTCTCCTGTCAGCCCATTTTTCTATTCTATCATCATTCTTTTTCCATCCCTCTGTGCCTGCACACTTCTGTATTTCCTTTCCTTCTTTTTCCATCCCTCTGTGCCTGCACACTTGCGTATTTTTTTTTCTCTCATTTGGCCTCCTCCCTTTCCTTTTTCATCCCTCTGTGCCTGCACCAAAGCCACAGAGCAGCACGTCTCCATGCATTTCTCACCTCTCAGGGTGTGGCTTCAAGGTGGTTTGCTCCACTTTTCGTGTCAGAGAGCTTTGCCTTGGAGTGCGGTGCACTCGTGCGAGGTCTTGTCATGGCACGGGTCCGAAAGCAAACAGCAAGGGTATTACCTCAGATTGTGGGGCTCTGGGTGCCAAGCTGGCACAGGATGTTCATACCTGAGGTTGGCATTATGGTAAAATTGAACAACTTCTGTCCTGCCAAACATCTCATGGCCCGTCACTAACCTTCTTGCCACGACACCTGCACAGACAAGAAGAAAAGAAACATGGGTTTGGTTTGGCGGGAATCACTTGGATTCCTGTGATACAGCCCCGGGACAGGAAGGCAGGATTTGCATAGAGCTGTAGTGAAACCGCAGAGTTCTGCGGAAAGATTTTTTTCTCTTTTTGTTTAAGTCCAACACACACTTGTATTCTTCTGTGCATGTGATTATCTAAAGATGGCTTGAAACCCGTGGCAGGTACTGACACGGGTATTGATATCACTCCACAACAGCATCAGCTTGACATCATAGTCCTGTCCACTGCTTATTCTGTACTTCTTCCATCGTTTCTTTCTGTTTATTACAAATTCAAAATTCGATTAGTTTCGTGTTGTTGAAAGTCAATTTGGTCAGAAATATTTTAATATGTGGAAAGTTTTAAAATGAATGTTGTTTAGTTGTCAGTGATAACAGTTGACCCAGGCGCTGTGTTTACAGTGAGGCCAATCACAGCTGGAGCCGATAACCTGCATGCAGTGCAGAGTAGTTTGACATGGAGTGAAACATATTCCACACTAGTCAGATAAACAAACTTTAACCTGGCTTTGAACAGGATTTTATTATTTGCCACTGTTCTTCATTTGCGCAGTCTGTGCTCAGTGTAGCATTTCTGTTAGTGTCTTGTCATTCTTTCCGTAGGCCTGAGAGGAAAGTCTGTGGATAAATGAAACCACATCTCACTCCATTTATTGTGCAACTACAGAAGGTTTACTGAAGGATTCTTTTTTTTTTTTTTTTTGGCATCTTCAGCTTGATGACAATCTTCTTTCTTAGCACATGTGTCAGTTCAGAAAAATATCACATGACAAAAGCATACGGCCATGTCTGCGTCAACATGCACAGTCCAACTGTCTGTCCAAAGATGTCCACAGTTATATCCCATTGCCTATAGCCTCCTGCTCCTCAGCCTGCAGCCTCTGTCAGGACAAGTCATAAATCTGCTCATGACAATAAATCACTCAGCAAAACTGATTTGTGTCTGACCTATCGCAGAGCTCGACTACCTGATCTATAAACACGTCTCCGTTTCTCCTTTTTTCACACACACAAATTTTGTCTTTCCTCGGTTGAACCCGCAGGTCATACTGTAGATTTTAGCTGTCACCAGAGTGTGTAATCATCAGCTGTTACCTGAGTAATTGGCAATGCAGTGTGTGTGTGTCTGTGTGTGTGTGTTTATGTGAGTGAAGTCCATTATTTGACGCTCTGGTTCTTGGTTGGGGATAAACAAGAAACTTTTTTTTGTGTGAAAGTTTTATCATGGCCTCCTTTGCTTACATTACCTCTGACCTCTCACCTTTAGGCCATTTAGGGTCGGTTGTGCTCAGAATTCTGTGTTTTGTTGAATTTGTTAGAGGGCAAGGCCAAGGTTTAGTTCACGTCTAAACACTAAACACTTTTTATTTAGTTTTAAGAAACTAGAATAGAATAGAATAGAATAGAATAGAATAGAATAGAATAGAATAGAATAGACAAGGCCTTTTGTCATTGCACACAGCGGAACACATTGCAACAAACTTTGGTTAAGGTGTTTGAAAAATAAGTCAATTATGAAAGACATAAGACATTTCTGGACAAAACTAAAAACAGACAGATCTTGGCGGATAAGAAGGATTAAGAAGGATTAGCCTAGCTGTAAGGAGAGGTATCTTTTAGATATTTCTTAATATATTAATATTTCTA